TAGGCCACGACATGAACCCCAGGACTAGCACCCACCTCAACGCGAGCACCCCCAGAGTCGACGAACAGCGGCGGCGGCGGCGGCGGACACGACGGCTGCGAGAGCAGAGGCGATGGCGGCTGCAGAGGCTGTGGAGGAGGAGACACTGGGGGAGGGGCAGACGGCGAGGACTGCACCGCAGGACCACCAGAGTCAGAAGACTCCTCGACCGGGACAACCGACGGGAGAGGGGTGACGTGGGACACGCCAGAGGGGGCAGGACGGGGAGGGGGAAGGGGGGGGGCAGGTACCAACAGGGAAGGAGTGACCAGGAACAGGGGGGGAGTAACCGGGGGACCGCGGTGGGGGAAGCAACGGTAGAAGGAGACGGACTCGTCAAAGGTGACGTCGCAAGAGTGAAAGAACCGGTGAGACAGCGGGTGGTAAAAGTGCCAGTCGAACGCGTCAAGGGGGAAACCGAGAAAGACACAGGGGACAGTGTGGGCAGTGAGCTTGTCCGTGCCAGAGGCACGAACGTGAGCAAGGCAGCCCCAGACGTGGAACGCAGACGCGTCACCAGGAGACCCTGTCCAAAGACAGGTTGGCAAAACCTGCGGCCGCTGGGGGTGCGGCCAAAGGTTAAGCTGGTGAGCAGCATAGCCGACGACGAACGTCCACAGAAAATGGGGTGCACCGGCATGGATCATGGAGGTGTGAGCCACCTCCATGACCAAACCGATGCGTCGCTCAGCGACCCCATTCTGCTGTGGGGAGTCCGGCAGGGTGAACGTCTGGGTGATGCCCTCCGCACGACAGAAGCGACCAAGGACACCAGAGGCAAACTCGCCACCACGGTCTGAGTGAAGACGCAAGACAGGGAGACCTCGGTGGACACGCGCAGAGACAAGCCAGGGGATGAGAGCGTCAGGCACGTCGGCCTTTCGCTCCAGGGGAAAGACTGTGGTGTAGCGAGTGAAGTCGTCGACAAGCACGAGGAAGTAGCGCTCTCGACGCGGCCCATGGACGGGGGCGGGGCCCCAGACGTCCAGGTGCAGGGTCTGCAGCGGCGCAGCGGTAGGGGGAAACGAGGAGTGAGGGGCACGGCGAAGCCGACCCTCGACACAAGGCATGCACAGTGGGGGGGGGGAGGAGGGAAAAGCGGGAAACGAAGCGGGGTTACCAAGGACGAGACCGTGCTGGGACATGTGACGCAGACGCGGGAGCGCAGGGTGACCTAGGCGGTGGTGCCACAGGAGAGTCGGGTGAGTGAGGGACCGACAGGAGCAGGCAGCAGCAACCTGGGAAGATGCAGCCATATGAGGGGGCGCCCAAGCCAGGGGGGTCACGGTGTCTAGGGTGAACAGGCCGGACACCGGGTCCCGGGGGAACGTGGAAAAGGGGGCACCAGTGGCGGCCTCGGTACAGACAGCATACCGCTCGTGACCAGGGAACGTAGTGGTGACGCCAAGGTCCTGGAGGCAGCCGACACCAACTAGGTTCCTGGAGAACGAGGGGATATGCAGACCTGTGAGAGAGCCCGAAGGAACCGCCGGACAGGGAAGGGTGGTGGAGCTGCGGGCGACTACTGGACCGCCGGAGGGGTCAGCAAGAGAAACTGCAGCAGGAACAGGAAGCGGCGTCAGCGTAGTGGAGTCGCGGAAAAAACACCGGGAAGCGCCAGAGTCCAAGGTGAAAGAAAGCGCAGCAGAGGCGTCTGGCGACGGGGTGACGGCGGAAGCACCAAGGCTAAACAAAGCAGGAGCTCCTACGCCTGACGCAGCAGGGGAGGCTAAGCTAGGCACACCTACACTAGGTGACAAGGAGTAATAAGAGGATAGCACACTAGAGTCATCAGCATACATCACATGCAGGGCAGCAACAATGGCATCCATGTCCATGTCAAAAATCTGAACTCTACGACTAAGCAAATTGTGCCAGTCCGGGAGGTCGGGCGACGGGCCGAAGGGCTGACGAAACAGGTCGTCCAGGCGACGAAAACAACGGGCAGTGGTGTGACCGATCTTATTGCAAACGAAGCTGCGGCGAGGACCGGTCTGGAGCTGGTCCGACAGCGCACGCCTCTCGAACCGCCACCCAGTACACCACCACGCGCACGACCACCACTAGTGCCAGGCCACCTGGGCGGGAGACCACTCGCCGGCCTCGTCTGCTGCGGCTGCTGCGGCTGGTGTGGGGGCTGCGGCTGCTGCGCCTGCTGTGGCTGCTGCTGCTGCTGCAGCTGCTGGGGCGGCTGCTCAGCTGAACCCGGCAGGGTCCCCTCTTTTGCTCCACCACCAGGCGACCCGACTCCACCACCACCTCCACCTGCACCCCCACCCCCTCCGCCGCGCCCAGACTTGGGACGGCGACCCTTCCCCGGACGGAACTACGCTGCAGCGGCGGTCTCAGCCACAGCTGCAGAGCCATCGGAGAAGGTGCACTGAGCGGGGGCACAACCCTGAAAGATGGGGACCGGCACAGTACCGCTCGCCTGGGCGATAGAGCGGTGGTGGGTCTCGATAACAGTCAGGGTGTCTACAAAGTCTGTGAGGGTGAGGTCACCGGGGTGAATGCTAAGGAAGCGGTCACGAGCAGCGGCAAGGCGGTCAGGGAGGCGGGTGGCAAGGAGGTAGAGGGTAGAGGTAAGGGGCGGCTGATGGGCTCTAAGCTGTGCGTCAATGCAGGTAGCGCGCCAGGTCTCATCTATCATGCGAAGGTGGGTAGCTAGGTCAGCAACCGTGGGGAACGACGCTAGGTCAGGGAAGAGGAGAGGGAGGATCAGGCGACCCACCGAGGCAGCAGGCGGGGTGGAATAGCGCTGGATAACAGCATCTTAGAAAGCCTGGGCGGTGGTGATAGACCGAAAGCGGGGGCGCTCAGACAGGGGGAGGGCATTGCTAATGGCAAGCTGTGCGACAGTGTCACGGGAAAGCCAGACAGAGCGAGCAAGGGCAGCGACCGCAGCAGACTCACGCTCAGCAGATGTGGGGTCAGCTGGCAGCACAGCAGGGGGGTCTGGGCAGGGAAGCGTACCGTCAAGATGTACCGAAAGCGAGTGGCCATCCTGCCGTTGGCCAGTGAGGTGGCGGCGGAGGTCGGCTAGCCAGGCCTCAAACTCCAAAGGCTGGCCTTCAGCATCAAAGCGAAGCTCCCCCGCCATAAAGAACAGTGCAGGGCGACGCCAGGCGGGTCAGTGGAGTGCAGGACAGCGCAGTGCGATACAGTGCGGGACAATGCGGGGGGCAATGTGGTGCAGTGCGGTGCAGCGCGGTACAGTGCGATACAGTGCGGTGCAGAGGGGTGCAGAACCGGACCAGGGAGGGTGAAGGGCAGTAGCAGGCACGAAGAGCGAACCGCACACAGATCGGCGACAGGCCGGCAGGAAGGTGAGCACGGGGCCGGAGGTCGACGGGCAGGGCGTGCGCAGGTGTTGGCAGGACGGGCGCGGGGGCCAGTAGGGCGAGCGCGGGGCCGGTTAGGACGGGCGCGGGAGCTAGGAAGGACGGGCGCGGGGTTGGCTAGGACTGGCCTAGGGCGGGCGCTGGGGCCGGTAGTACGGGCACGGGGCCGGCTAGGACGGGCACGGGGGCCGGTAGGACGGGCGCAGGGGCCAGCTAGGACGAGCGCGGGGCAGGCCAGGACGGGCGCGAGGGCCGGTAGGACGGGCGCGGGGGCCTGTAGGACGGGCGCGGGGGCCAGCTAGGACGGGGGCGGGGCCGGCTAGGACGGGCGCGGGGGCCGTTAGGACGGACGCGGGGGCCGGAAGGACGGGTGCGGGGGCCAGCTAGGACGGGCGCGGGGACGGCTAGGACGAGCGCAGGGGCTGTTAGGACGGGCGCGGGGGCTGGTAGGACGGGTGCGGGGGCCAGCTAGGACGGGCGCAGGGCCGAGAGGACGAGTGCGGGGGCCGGCTAGGACGGGCACGGGGGCCAGTAGGGCGGGCGCGCGGGCGCAGCTAGGACGGGCGGCTAGGATGGGCGGCTAGGGCGCGGCTAGGGCCTAGAGCGGAAGCGTGGGCGGGCGGCGGGACCTACCTACTACTACAGATATCTCTGATTCAGCTTGGGCCGTTTCAGCTCGCAGATGCGTCAATTCCTGCTGGTACAACTCGTGGGTAAGATGGACTTCATCAAGTATTGCCACCCATTTCTCTGGAGTCATGCTGGTAGATGCCGACGAATCCACCATTTCGCGGAAAAATTTGGGCGGCTTTCGGCACGTTGGCACAGCGAACACAGTCATGGCTGTAGGTTATTACTAATTAGTATAATCAGGACAGCGGATATGCAGTAAGCATAGGGCTACAGCCTCACAAAGCGATTGTATTGCAACGGAACTAGAGCGCAAGGCTCAGGATCGTTGGCTCTTATGGCCATGCGTAATGAAGCGCAAAGAGCATGTGTCGAAAGATTGATTGACGAGGAAACAATATAACTGAGGCAACATCAAGACAGCAGGGTGGGAGCACGGATATAGCTAGCCTAAAAGCACACGGTCGTGGCACAGCAGAGCTGCGACGTATGGTTCGTAAAATGGAGGGAAGTGCCCAGATCTAGGCATGCAACAGCAAGGCGGGAAATAATGCATGCGGGTCATAAGGAGACCACATTTGGGACCGCGATTTGAATTTCGTGGCAGAACTGAGCAGCAACCCCATTATAGCATTGTACGCCTTACTGGCTAAAACACGTGATATGGAAATACTATTTACTTACACGCATCCATTTCAACTTTTCCCCTGATTTTTTTCAACGGCTGGGCATGCGGATTGTGTGCGTCCCGATTCCAGAGAGATTCGCGAAAATTTCAGGGCAAGGTGATGGGCACCGAACCGCGTGAATGTGGGAGATTTTCGCTCCAGCGACGCGGAGATGCCCACCAGACCCTATCCAAACCACATCGATCTCACGAATTCTTGCGATAGAGGAAGAGAGGCATTCAGCCTATTGTATCTGCTGTTCCCCAAGCAGGAGTCGTCGCATCATTTCTTGTCCAATCGAGCACCATACCGTATCGTTACTGCTTATGCATCAGGACGCGACTCATCTGTTAGCAGCTTCCCAGTATGCGGTAGAATAAGAAAGCCCACTTAATCAAAGAATGCGTTACACAATGCCTTTATTCCTCAGAGAGCGCACAGTTAATGGCCGGGCCTAACAATCATGCATCTCCCCGAGACGGCGAGCTTTGAAAGCTCCAGAAGGCATTTCCTAGGTCAGAATGTTTCCCACGCGAAATCGGATGGGAGGAAATCGGATGATAAGACGGCGGGCGAATACGTGGTAAGCTTTTTCGCCGTGTCGAGCGAGCGACAAGTCTTCACTTCGGTTTCCCGTTGCCGGTGGTGCTAGTGCTGCCGGTGGTGCTAGTGCTGCCGGTGGTGCTAGTGCTGCCGGTGGTGCTAGTGCTGCCGGTGGTGCTTGTGTTGCCGGTGGTCTTTGTGGTGCCAGTGGTTCCGGTGGTGCTTGTGGTGCCAGTGGTTCCGGTGGTGCTTGTGGTGCCAGTGGTGCCGGTGGTGCTTGTGGTGCCAGTGGTGCCGGTGGTGCTTGTGGTGCCAGTGGTGCCGGTGGTACTTGTGGTGCCAGTGGTGCCAGTGGTGCTTGTGGTGCCGGTGGTGCTTGTGGTGCCAGTGGTGCCGGTGGTGCTTGTGGTGCCAGTGGTGCCGGTGGTGCTTGTGGTGCCGGTGGTGGCAGTGTTGCTGTTACCGTTGCCATTACCATTGCCGTTACCGTTGCCGTTATTCCAGTTGACGGAGTGCGCCTTGTCGTACGCCGCGGAGTCCGCGTCCGCCTGATCCGCAGCAGCCTTGAGCGAGTCAGATCGCGCCTTCGCCTGCTTGTACTTGGTCTCGGCCGCCGCGCGAATGCCAGCGGCCACCCCAAGAGGCGCCTTGTTGTCTTTGGTGGCCTTCGCCGCGGCTGTCGTCTTCACCTGAACGTCGGCCATTTGCGTCTTGATCAGATTCGGCAGCGTCTTCGTGTCGCCCACGTATTTGTAGTAAACCCCCTCCGCATCCTTCGCGTCCTTCTGCGCCTTGTTCAGGTCAACCAGGTGCTCGTCCGCGGCCTTCCGCGTGTCGATCTTGTCCTTTCGCGCGGTGGTCAAGTCGTACTGCATCGTCTCCAGGGCGTCCAGGGCGAGCGCCGCCTGCCTCTTAAGCGCGCCCAGGATGCGATTCGCCTGAGCGCGGACCAACTGCGCCTCGGCGGCCGCTGCCTGCGCCTCGGGCGTCTTGAGCTTCGCGGCGCGGCGCGCGTAGTACGTGGAGTCGGCGGTGGCCTCTTTGGCGATCTGGGTCTGTTCGGCGACGAGCGAATTAGCGAGGTCCAGTTGCTCCTGAGTGGGGACGATGTCCGTTTCCAAGGCCGCGGTGTCGGCGATCGCCTCCGCCGCTTGCTGCTCCAGCTCGTCATGGTAGTCCTGCTCCGTCTGCAGTGCCCCCCTGAACTTGATCATTTCCTGACGCGCTTTCTCGGCCTTGGCCCTCGCGTCGTCCAGCTGCTTCTTCGTATTCGCGAGATTCGTCTGCGAGGCATTCAAAGCGGCATTCGCGTCGTCGATGAGTTTCTGAATCGCCTGCTCCGCCTTGAGCTTGCTGTTGTATTCCGCCAGCGCTGCGGTCGTCACCGCTTCCGCGTCGTTAGCCGTCTTTCGGGCCGCCGCAGCCTTAATGGCCATGTAAGATTGGGCGTTCGCTCCTGCTGAGAAAGTTGACACGAAAAAAACAGCACACGCGAGCGACAGGAAGAAAGCGTTGAAACGACCCATGGCTAGTACTGTTTTCGTCGGGTCTGGGGAGTTCGGGTCGAGTAGAGCTGAATAAAGATGGAACTAGACGTTGGGATGTTTGAGCTTGCTGGTATTGCGATCTAGAACGGAAGCTAAAATATACCATCCGCAATGCGCGACCGTGCCGTTTGATAGGCGGACGACACAGGTTCAGGGGCCTCCCCACTCAAGTGTGGTACAGCCATGGGCAATACGGAATGGCGAGACAAGGTTTGGTGGTTGGATGAGGGCGTTGAGGAGGTGGGGCTTGATGTTTTGTCATGTGGGTTGGCGAATGGACATAGCAAATGCCCTTCCAAATCCACAGACGCGACTCGCAGTGGCTCACGCAAAGCTGTGCCAAACCAATGGGGCCGAGAATAATCCATGAGGAATACAAAGCAAACATTTGAGGCGGCTCGCAGTGGCTTGCATGCACAGCGCAGCTGTTACGCATTTGGGATGGTGCGTCGGTAGCAATATCGGCTCGTTAAGGCCCGCGTCTACATTTGTGGTTGCTGTTTTCAAATTAAAAACATTTGAAAGGAGGTAACCTGACGGACTGAGCTACTTTGCCGCTAACTCGCCCAAACCTTTAAAAACATTTGAATCTGGCCTCGATCACAATTGTGTACAGATTTGGCTCACCCCAGGATTTCGATTCCCCTCCCCCTCCAATTGCGATTCCCCCTCCCCCTCTAATTGCGATTTCCCCCTCCCCCCTCCAATCGCGATTCCCCCTCCCCCTCCAATTGCGATTCCCCTTTTCCCCGTCCAATTTCGATTCCCCCTCCCCCTCCAATTATGATCCCCCCCTCCCCCCTCTCCCCAAATTTCGATCCCCTCCCCCTAAAATTTCCTTCCCCCCTCCAATCTTGCAACTCCCACTTCTCGATGCTTGCGAAGTCCGCATACTCTGTCGTCAGTTTTCCAGTATCGCCTCTCTCGTAAGCCAATCACGCAATACCAGGCCGTCAAATCCTAAAGCTACACCACGAACCCCCTCAAATGTAGTCGCCGGCTTTAAGGCCCAGGTCCCAGAAAAACGAGTCAGGTCAACGCTGGTTGAGGCTCGGCAAAGGTTGGGGATGGGGTTTGGGAAGTTGGCGAATCCCCACTGTCGCGAAAACGATTTACGAAACCAAACCCAGGTCGCGAAGGCACGGAACTCGCCAGGACGCTGCCTCAAACTAACCCTGCAAGTTCCCAGCCCACGCACTTGACGAACAGTTGGAGGGGAATGCAATCGCAAACACCTCCACCGCCCTAAACCACTCTGTCCAATTTGTCGGCAGAACTGAAATTCATCCACCACACCTCCCCGTCACCACACCTCAAAAAACACCGAGGCACAGAGACGCAGTCCGACTAAGAGACTAGGGGAACCCATAGTAGGCGGACCGAAAATCACAAGCCAGACTGCCAGCGACGCCACCACTATAGCTCGTATAGGAACAGGGCGGTGTGAGTGGCAACCATTTCAGCAGGCCTCTACTGCTGTACCGGCCTTCCACCCAGCCTAGCCACGACCAACACCACGCGTGAGTCCAACAATATACAATCTGTGCCCGAGAGAGGCCCGCTACCTTTCCAAGCCGCGTGGCCTTCTGTCGAATCTGCATTTCGCCACCCTTTGCCCCTAGTGGCGAGGGATTTTTGTTGCGCACAAGGGTAACGTTTTTGGCTGGTGCGGGGGAGGTTGGGTGACTGGGTTTGGTTCATAATCGTAGCCTGGTTACACAGGCAAACAATGCCGCATTCAAACAGATTACAAGTACCACTGGCAAAATCACAACAAAATTGCAATAAACCACACACATCTAACACCTCAACCAGTTCGAAACATCAAACAGCAGTGCCACCTCAGCGTACCCCATTCTGGTAAGTAACGCCAGCACTTGTCCTCCCAACCACCTCCTCCCAAACTCTGGAAGCTCACTTCACTTGAATTTATGGAGACAAATCCTAAAGCAGAAAAATCGCTACGTTGCCCGCACGAGGAACTTAATGGCGGCACCCATTCTCCGCTAACGCACTTAAGCAGAGCCGAAAGGGTGGCGCATCCACTTAGCAGGTCCGAGCAGACCGTCCATCACCGCCCGGACGCCCTGTTCATACAGCTCCGCGCGGCGGGAAACTCCCGCGATCGACGGTGGGAGGACGCGGCCAGTGCGCGGATGGGGAGAGGGGCTCGCCGGGGGGCCGTTGAGATCGCGGAGGGGGCTCGCCCTCTCGAGCCTGCTCACGACGACAGGGTTACGTATGTCGAAGAGGGCGAGCATGTCACGAGGGGAGATGTTCGTGGCACGGGCGTAGCCAATGAGCATCTCGCACGCCGCCCGCGCCATGCGACGCCGCGCCCGGTCGCCCGGTCGCCCGCGTCGCCGAACGCCTGGATGTCGTCGCGAGGCGGCGCCTCCCACGCCTCATGGCGCGGGGGAAAGGGAGACTACTCAGCGAGGGGGTCATCCTCTGCCTCCGCGCACGTCGGCTGCGCTTCGTCGATGGCGACGAACTCCGCCGCCGGCATGGCGGACGACCCGAGTCTGAGGGCGGCGATTTCGGAGGCCGACCCCTCCGACGACCTCCTCAATGCTCTCGTCGGAGTCCTCGTCGGCCTCCAAGCCACCGTCATGCTCGTCTCGCTCCTCCTCGGGCACGACGTCGCACGGGAGAGGAGCTTGCGGGACGTGCTCGAGGAGGGCCGCCCATTCGGCGGGGAGACAACCGGTGCGCCACCAGCACCGTTGGATCGTCCGGTCGCCCACCGCGCACCATGCCTCCCACAACCACTCAACAACGTCCCGCATGCTGGGGCGGAAGCGCGTCAGGGCCGCCGCGGCGCCGTTCTCTCCCCACCGCCGCGTGAGCTCTTCAAGCCAACGCGAGCGGTAGCGCGCTTTGACCATGTCAATTATGCCTTGGTCAAGCGGCTGAGTAAAACACGTCGTATTGGGGGGGAGGTAGACAAGGCGGAGGTTGGAGAGGGTGCGGGTTCTAAACCCGAAGAGGTCCTCCGAAAGCGCATCGGAGGAGAGGAGGGTGTGGGCGGAGGCGTTGTCCACAAGGACGATGACCCGCCTCCCCTCCGCAAACATGGCAGCATTAAGTTGCTCCATGTAATGGGTGAAAAGCTGAAGGTGGGGGGGAGGGAGAGAGGGGAATAGAAGAATGGGTGGAAGGGGGAAAGACGGACGGTAAGGCACGGCGTTGAGACACTAGTAGGAACCGACGCTTGTGTCGTCGGAGCAAGAATTTGCTGAGTGCTCGGGAGTGAGAGAGCAGCAGTTGGGTGCGAGAGCATGAAGACAAGCTTACCTTGGAGGTCATCCAACCCCTCTCATTGCTACACCAGTAGCAATAGGGCTTGGGGTCGTAGTCGGATCGGAAGTCGTTGGGGCGGCGCGATTTGGAGATGATGAGAGGGCGCCAAATTGTGGAGGCATCCGCATTGCAGAGGAACCCCACGGTGAGGCGTTCTTTTGCAACTTTCCGCCCCCCCCATCGACGGCGCGCCCAAGTTTTCCGCGGTAGGGCGGAGATAAACAACGCCGTCTCGTCAAAGTTCCAGACGTCACGCGGCTGAACGTCGGCTTGACGGAAGAACTCCGGCATTTGGACCTTGGAGGTCATGACGGCTCCAAGGTCCTGATCCGCGGCTTCACCGGACTGGGTAAGGCAACGGATTTTGAGCCTTCTCAGCGATCGCCTCACCCACCCGATCGACACTTTGAAGCCATCGGGCTTACCCAATGCGCGGGCAAATAACGTTGCCTGAGCTAATGGTATCCACAACCCGATACCGTTGGTGTATTGCAGCCCGCCTGAGCTGTTTACTATGCGTTTGCTCGTCCGGCGCGCGTAACTCATCATAGTACTTGATGAACGTGTAGTCTCATCTTGATGCACCATGACCAATATGGAAGACAAGAAGCACGTTTGCATACCACTCTTCGTTGTCCACACCATCCACTGCGACGTCGGAAAACCAGCCTCGCCCATGAAATACAGGCACCACTCGAATGCGGTGTGGTACGTCACGGAATGAAGGGTCCGAGGCTGGTGGCATGGCAAGCTCGCTATGCACGTATATGGTATCAGCAGCTTTATTTGTTGCAGTAAATCCATCAAGCGTTCGTCTGAGGTGAGGGAGGTCATCTCTCAAAGCAGCAAAGTTTGCTGCATCCCGTGCATTGTCGGGAGTAGGGAAACTCACCCAACCGTTCGTGCACCTACCTCTCGCCACTGTAAGAGGCCACGCCCTGCGAGATAGTGTTCTTTGTCCTGACGCCAAGGCCTGCGTTGCAAAAGACAAAATTGGACAGCATTAGAAAGGAGGAATATACCTTCGCGTAATAAGCCTCAAAGCTACTGTATGTTATTGCATGCACCTGTCTCATCGCAGTGTTGTACTGTACGTTTACCTCCTCAAAAACTTCCATTGCGTCAACTACAAGTTGCATTTTCTCAGCACGAACAAGTTGTCCTGATGCGTTACACTTCTTGGATGTACGATACGGGCGCTTTATATGGTCCTTATGAAAGAACTCCGAGATGTTGGCATCGTAGTGGATAGGTGGGCCGGCCCGCCGGATGGCATCCACATAATGGCTGAGTAGATGCATCTTTATAAACTTCCACCCCGATGTTTGCTTGAAGGCGCCGGTCAACGCATCGATCATCCTAGATGACAAAATGGAAAATCATTCGCCAGTAAGTAGTTGTTAAAAGAACACACTCTATCTAGAGTACCCTTGAAGACACACCTCTTTGCAAGCTTCTCCATCCGCAAGAGCATCGTCTCGTCGTACACAGTGGACTTTGAGCATGCGGAGTACCAGGAGATGTAAGCCATGATGGCATCCGTTTGCGGTTGCGTGACATGACCTCTAACCAGAAATGGGAGGATCTGCATCACTGAGCGATGCTCGTACGCCTGGTAATTTGCTCCAAGGCGGAAAATTTCTCCAGAGGGCAGCCGGAGTGTGTCCCACCGATAAATGAGCTTGAAATATGCTAGTCGTCTGCGTGAACACATGGTAAAATAGGGCCAACATTGTCAATAGAGTGCACGTCTCCATAGAGAATTGAAGGCCAGTGCACTTTAGGAAAGGAAACCCTTACTTGTCAATCTTGG